AATGTCAATATTCCTTCTCAATGCACCGGTTGTGTCGACGACGACGCGGCGTCACCGCGTCGCCGCCGCAATCTAAAATGATCGATGATTAATTGATCATCGGTTGTTTTGTAAAACCGATGATCAATCATGAAATTTGGACCGATCTCCAACACTAGGTGCATGTATAAAACATTACACAACACCATGATTCAGCATATCAGCTCATGAGTACTCACTGGAAGATTCACTCATCCACCTAAACTGTGTTTACACTACCTGGTACCGACTTATGTTGTCAAATTGGCGAATTGGACCAATTTCGCAAACTTTGTATACAACCAACAATCGGCAGTGTAAACGCAAAAGTCGTGCGAGCAACTGATCAATAGCAACTAGTTGGGTGATTAGAACATGTTCTATTTTCACCAACTCTTTGTTGCCGAATTACAAAATTGGTCCAACTCGCCAATTTTACAACATAAAGTCGGCATTGTAAACCCAATTTAAGCAGATAGCCAAGACAGGATGTGTGTGCTACGTGCCAATTTTTTTACACTTTTTATGAGTCATGTCAGAGGCTACTTTATACTCTATAGATTATACTCACACTCCATCAGTCACTGCCAGCTTGGCCCATAATACATCTACAGAACGTCACATACATATAAGAGCTCATGCAGTATAGATCATTATGGCAGGACCGTAGGCTGAGCAAAATCCTAGGGGGGGGGGCAGTGGTGGATCTAGGATTTCAAGGAGGGGGTGAGAAACAGGTGGGGTCTGGGGGTTCTCCCACAGAAAATTTTGAAAATGTAGATTGCGGAAGATGGTATTTGAGGTACTTTTGAGCACATGTACAGCCTTCATTCTGACTACGACAATTCTCTTTTAGTAGAACAATTTATTTTTTTTATTTTGCTCCAAAATCTAGGGGGCAGCTAGCTGTGACCACGTACCGCAGGCTACGGCCCTATTACTGTTGCGAAAGTGTTGAGAAAATGAGGGTGTTACGAATGAACGGATCTAGCTCTAGTCTAGAATTATAGCCCTCCGCTCAGCCGCAGGCGGCCTGCGGCGGAGCGGGGGGCTATATAGTTATAGATGATGACATGATCACTGTCACGTACGCAACCAAGAAAAGGTGGTTCCAGCGCAACTGGCACTGGCACACGCACAGGCACTTGGAACGTCTCAATAACAAAAATTAATGGTAAATAAACACGAAATGTACCAAAGTCCAAATGTTTCTCTACTCTATTTCGCCTATAATCACCTGTAAATGCCGGTCAAATGCTCATCTGCAACACACAAGTATACCGCACGCCCGCCCTGTGCTGCGTGCACAAACAACATGAATAAGAGAGTTGGCAACGCAACTGGCACTGGCAGTTGAAATCACAACTAGGCCTACTCTCCAAAACTTACAATGTAGATCGATTGTGTATACGGCTAATACGCTTCAATTCTTGCTACTCTAGGCTCCGAAAATAATCATGTGCAAATATACCATATTTGCTATGCATAAGTAAATATAGCATATCATCGTGTAACGGTTAGGATCGCACAGTCAGCGTTGTACGCATAGAAGGTGGTCTATGCAATCAATGTACACACACACACAATCGGTGACAACCCGTCACCGAGTATCACAATCACTATCAGTATCAGTATCAGTGCCATCACGACACCAGCAAACGCTAAACGAAACGATGACAGCGGTATAAAACAACAGCGAAACAACTGTGCCCATCATGTAAACCATCGGGCAGCTAGTGATCGCGCAAACTTGCATTTCCACGATATTTCTCGAGTAAAAAATACACTCTTTAGTAGTAATGTACACGCTTACCGTTCTCGTTCCCGTAACTCCGATTATATTGATTGACACGCGAAAACAACTTGGTACCGGTTTTTTTGCTGTCCAGCGACTGCAGCGACTCAGCCAATCGCGACTCGGCGCGTGATGGCCGTAGCTATTGTTTATAGGGGGAAGCACTAGCTCTCCAGAAGATCAACGTGTCTTTCCCTGGTTACGCGTGCTTTTTACATCCGACCAGTAGCTGAGCACCGAAGAATCGAGATCATAGAAATAATATATTTAGGCGAATGATATTTATAGGGTTACGGTGGGGATTCTCGAATATAATCATGCACTTTTGACATTTCGCAGACCAGGTGCAGTGGCATTCGAATCATATAACCTAACATGGAACTTGGATATAAATCTCACAAATTTCGCCACTAGCTAGTGAGCAGTGGAGCGTAGGTACACAGACCAACGTTAGTATAATTATAGAGATCAATCATCAGTGACACTATGTACAGTGACATGTGCACGTAAGCACACATAATTATATGCACACGCGCGTATATTCGGCACCCGGCAGTTAGATGCGATATGATATGACTACTAGGCACTTAGGATATGACTACTAGGCACTTAGGATATGACTACTAGGCACTTAAAAAAAAAAACCCTAACCCTAACCTAACCTAAACCCTAAACCTAACCTAAACCCTAACCCTAACCCTAAAAAAAAAAAAATTAAATTAAATTAAAGTGCCTAGTAGTCATATCATATCGCATCTAACTGCCGGTTGCTATATTCGCGCGTACACTAAAGATTTAAATACGACAGCATAGCGCCATCTCGAGGGCGAAATATATATAACCCCGCGCGTAGCGCGAGCAGGCATCCGCGATCTGGCCCGCGAGAGACGCGCGCGGGGAAAAGGACGGGACAGGACGTGAGATACGTGACGATAGAAATACCATAATAATTATACTCTCTATAAACATTTCTGTGGACGTGACAGTAATTGTATATACTCATTTACGTCTACATTCACTTGTCCACGTGAGTGTGCACGGACCGACCATAGAACTAGAAATAGAAGTTATATTTCTAGTTCTATGGGACCGACGCATCGGCATCGGAGCAACAGAACGCCATGCGTCCCGTCTACGAAAAATTAATACAATGGTACAGTCAGGAACACGTAAAGAGTTCCACTTAATTTCAACGTAAAGTGGGTTAGGCCTAATGGTTGCGAAACAGTTTGACGGACTCACTGACACACTGTTTTTCGGGCGCATTTACAGATAAACTGCAGTAATTCTGAGTATATAGCAAATATTTGTTTAGCCGACGGCGTAACCCTGTTAATCCTGTATTGTAAATCATCCAGAGAGACCGGATACAGGGTTGCGTTGCGCAAAAGATGCGTTGTTCCCCGACCGCCGAGAGTGGTTAAGCCGCGCACTTCCGCGGGAGCTAGGCGCACGCGACCGCGGGGTGTTGTATGTAGCATCTCGCGCTGCCCGCTATACGGATTCGCGCGCCGAAGGAGGGCGGGCGCGCGAATCCGTATAGCGGGCAGCGTAACATCGCGAAGTTTTCGTCACACGTACACCGGCTCGGCTACGTCAGCCTTGAGGGGGGGGGCCTTGGATTTTTCGGTTATAGATTGATCCGCCTTTTGACATCCTCGCCGTCGTCCCGTCACCGGCCGTATTTGCGTACCTTATCTGGCGCATATTGTTACCTGCCGTGACTAGCAATTGTCACCTAGTCACTTCATGCCCTTTACACGGTCTCCTCAACCTGCGTGTATTCGTTTGCTGTAGTATGCGCTAGACGTGATGCGGCCATGATGCCGAGGCGCGCCGAGGATTGACACTTTGTGTCTTCCAATCACAGCCTACGCCGCACCAGTCTTTGACCATTTGTTACATAGCTGCCATGGTATTTGAAGCGGGTGACGTTCGCCAACTTGGTGTCAGCTATGAAGAACTCAGCTTCAGTACCAATGCACATGGTCTCTGTCTTTGCAGTGTTAATACGTAGTCCCATCTTCTTAGCAAGGTCGTTGTAAGCTGTGAGTAACAACTGTAGTCCCGCCGAAGTGTCACTGAATATGGTTATATCGTCTGCATATTGAGGCTCCCTGATGTACTCGGTAAGAACTTTGGTCTTTGACTTCAGTCTTCGAAGATCAAATATATCACCATCATAGCGAAATCTGACCTTTACACTGCAGGTGTGCTTGATTTTCTTATAAGCAAGACAAAGTAAAACAGCTGCATAGATGCCATAAAGTGTTGGTGCTAGCTTACAACCCTGCTTGACACCACTGTTGTACTCAAAGGCCTGTGTGAGTTCACCATCTACAATGAGTCTTGCATGCACGCTCGTATATAGCTTCTTGATGATTCTTATGAACTTTGCAGGGCAGCCCAGCTTACTCAGGATGATAAAGAATAGCTCACGATTGACGGTGTCACCGTGTCAAACGCTTTAGTGAAGTCCACAAAAGCTATATACAAACTTCTGCGCTGTTCTCTCGTTTTCTCCATTACTTGTCGAATGGTGAAGATTCCATCCACAGTACTTCTGCCCCTGTGGTACCCTGGCTGAGATTGTGGGTATATCTTCTCTGCAGGTGATGTAGTCTCTGCAAGATGACGTCTGCTAGGACTTTCCAAACTACGTTTGTAAGTGGTAGGGGCCTACCTCTCTTTCTTTGTTTGAAAGTGGTCATATACAGCGGTACATTTGTTAGCTTTATTTTATTTAGTATATAGTAAATTCGAATACGGATACAGATGCGAATACTAATCAAGGTGATTGCTATTTATCTGTTTAGCTTATATATTTTTCATTTAGGCCTAGCTATATATGGTGGCGCATTAATTAATATGCATTAATTAAAATTAATTAAAATTAAATTTAAATTTAAATTTAAAAATTAAATTTAAATTTAAATTAATTAAAATGCATTAATAGGCATATTAATATGCATTAATGATAAATCAACATCAGCTTGCGAGCTCCTCACCGTCAGAAAACGATTACGAATTCTAGATGTCAATAATCTCAGTTGAAGTCATTTATACCTATGAATATGAATGTCAACACAAATACTAATATGTAAATTCAAACCTTGAATATGACGCTTGCACTTTATAAATAAAAAATGTATAAAAACGAAGACTCGCCGTCGGGTGCGCCTTGTGTTTTAAAATCGCGGCACCCGGTCCAATATGGCAGCGCTCTTCAGCGTTTTTCGTGTCTATCTGGAATGAACGTTAATTGCAAAATGCACTATGGGCGAGTGCGTTGATGTCAATTTCCTTTCGTTAATATATGAAATTATAAGGAGTATTGAAAAGGACTCTCATGATGTTGCGCAGAAGCTGGCAGAGCTGAGCCGGCTATTTGAGCTGTGTAGACATCAAATTGCGAAGTTGCCGGGAATCGAACTGAGTAAGGCAGAACAACAGCAGCAGATTGATGTTCTCAGAAAACAGGTTGTTCTGAAGAACGAACTATTACAGAAATATAAGACTTTGTGTCATTTCGAGGCCATGCATGGCAACGAACAGCATCACTAAATTGCTTATTTGCGATCCACGCAGTGATATCGCGTTCACTGTGTCATTTGTACTTCAACTACTTGTGATTTGTACGTCACTACGTGCACATCTGTTCCTACTACTAGCGTGCAAGCATAGCCAAAAAATGCGAGATGGCATTTTCCCAGTACAGAAAATTTGTGCGGCTGCTAGAAATGTGGCCAGTTGACAATAGCAAGTTTAGCCGTGACCTTGGACAGCATATTCGCAACAAAGTCGCAGAAACATTTCGTGAAGGTGAAACGACGAAAATCGCCAACGCCGTAGAGTGCGACAAATATTACGACGCGTTAATGACTCTTGCACTCAACAAACACAAAGACAAATACCAAGTTAAGTTTCAGGAAGGAACAGCGTCTACCGGATTAACCCTAGAGGAATGTCACTTGTTGATGGCAACTGAGAGCTTACAGATAATTGACAAGGAAAACAGAAGATGGTGGCAGGCACAGCAGAAATCTGAGCAGAAGAAAAAGAAGACTGGGAAATAGAAACTGCATGGTTTGGTTCCTATATATTTCATTCACGATTTATATTTCATTTCAAAATTATGTGTGGGTTCCACCCACAAGTGATTGGTGTTTCTGTTAACACGTTTTTTACAGCTTAGATTTCTTCACGAACTCTGCGTCGAACCCGTCAATCGATCAATCACACGTATAATCGATTTCCAGGTTCCCTCGCTCCGCGACAACGCGCCGCTCTGAGGATCTGGTGGAGTAGGCGTCATGGCGTCGCTTCTGCAGCACGTTCACGGTGGGATCCTTACTGAGGTTCCCAGCAGCCTGAAGCGTCTCGCTCGCCTCGTCGTACGCGGATTCTACGGCGTCGAACACGCCATCGTCATCGACCTCCTAGTCAGCCACCCATGCGTGAAGGAAGACGACCTTGCCGAGCTTCTCCGCTTCGAACGCAAGCACCTCCGCGCGATCATCGGCCAGCTGAAAGCCGACAAACTCATCAAGGTGCGTCTTCGCGTCGAGACGACCGCGGACGGCAAGGCGTCGAAGCACAACTACTACTTCATCAACTACAAGGTGTTCGTGAACGTCGTCAAGTACCGGCTCGACCACATGCGGCGGCGCATCGAGGTTGAGGAGCGAGACTCGACGAGTCGCGCGTCGTTCAAGTGCGGAAACTGCGCAAAGTCGTACACCGACCTCGAGGTCGACCGGCTCTTCGACTTCACGACGGGAGAGTTCCGCTGCAGTTACTGCAACACGCAGGTGGAGGAGGACCACGGCTCGCTGCCGAAGAAGGACGCACGGACGCTTCTCGCGCGATTCAACGAGCAGATGCAGCCGATATTCGACCTCATGCGAGACACGGAGGACATGCGGTTGGACCAGAGCATCCTCGAACCGGAGCCGACGAACATAGAGAGCATCCGCGCCAACATGCCTAACAGGTGCGGGCGCGGGGCGTCTGCTGGCGTCGGTCGGGAAAACCGTCTCCATGGGTGCTAACTGTCCGTCTGCTAGACGCATTTCCGTCTTGGGAAAAATTCAAACAATTTTTTTATTATTTTATTTTAAAAACTAAACATTTTTTATTTTAAAGTGAACTGCATCTAACGGTCTTCCCTATATTTGCTTGTTATATATTCTTATATAATAGTATTTAATCTTATCCCGGCGGGGTGTGTCTGCCGCCGTCGATCGTGAAAGCCGTATCGATGAAGTTTATTTTTCGCGCGCACGGTTCCAATGTTATGTGTGTAGTGTTTGTCGTGTGTAGAAAACTACACTGTGGGTTGCTGCCACGTGAGAGATCGTATGCAGCGAGAGTGTTTTTTGTTGGAAAGTAATCGATGCAACTGTTGCTGGGGATGCTGGGTTATGAAATTTTGTGTTGGCAAGAAATTAGAGATGCGTTTAGGCGTTATCATATCACTAACGTTAAATTATAAAGTTGAGGATTTTGCGGTTTTTGGGTAGTTATGTTGTTTGTGTCGGATATAAGTAATCGGGTGTTGTTTTACTCAATTTGATCATCTTGAAACTACTAGGAGTAAAATCATCAGGAGAGGTAAGATGAGGTCCACAGTACCTCATGTTAAAAGCAGCTACGGGCTTGGTCGGGGGGGTCTATGGGCTTATATTAAATACATAGCATACAAGCCACACTGTCGCTGAATTTACCGTCTGTCGGCTTCTAGTGAAATCCTCGAGTAATATATGTAAACTTATTTTTCAGGGGACATGCAGGAATGGGTCAAACGCGAGACCCAAACCAACATGTATGGAGCGGCCAGCAGCATACCGGCTTCCAGGTTACTCACCAAGATTACATCTCATATATTCATATATTTAATTAATACATACATGTTGGTTGTTCTTGCATTGATTATTTTGAGGCAGCATCAATGCTCAAATCTTTCAGTGTTATCGGAGCAATGTATATTTATAAATAATTATTCATAAACCGTATATGATATACATATGTAGGGACAGTGATTTTCCGCGATCGCGGAAAACGGACGGAAAACACGGAAACGGCTATTGGAAACGGAAAAGATGTTTTCAAACGGGAGAACGTAATTTGAACATATTACAACATGGAAATTTCAATAAAATCACAAAAAACAGTCGACAATAGCATTGGTATACATTCAGACAAGTTTCAGAGCGAAATAACTTACAATTACGACTTTTGGTAGCCCTGTGTTTCGGTGCCGGTTCCGGTTTCAAAGGTTGTACCAAATCCTTTTTTTTTCATGCAAATATATTATGTAAACGGAATTTTGCATTTTTGGTGTGTACAATCTCTATGGCAAAACGGAATTTCCATTTTTTCTTTACTTTAGAACGGAATTCATGATTTTCCCAAACGGAAAAGGCAATTTTTTGAAACGGAAAATCACTGTCCCTACATATGAACATATTCACAGAAGCAGAATAGATAATCATTTAGGACTGATTTCTCTAACACGTGATAATTATCTGTATTCTATACTCTCCGTGTGATTTATCCTGCACTTACAGTGAAAAAAATACACGGGGGCTCGGGGCGATTTAGCCCCCTGAAATGCCAAAAAAAGCCCCGGAAATGCCAAAAAGAGCCCCCGGAAATTTGCATAGAGTTTAATGCAAACCAAATTTTAGAGTGCTATTTTCATGCATGCGAGCTTGAAAAGTAGCTCCCGAAAAATAAATTATATTTTTTTCCCTGTGCACTTAGATGTACGAGCAAGGTGTCACCGTGAATGTTGGCGATGAACAGAAGAAGGCTAGGGATGTAGAGAAGAAGGAGCAGCCTATCTGGATGGCTGCTAGCACTGTACAGGGCGTGTCGACGATCGAGAGTGAATCCTCGATGCAGGCGAGTAGCAAAGCGCGATCGTTACGAGTTATTACGTTATTGTTTTTGTCAATCAACAGATTATTTAAAGTGATTACGTCACCGTAAATAGTAAAAGTAAAAAAATCACAATGAAAAAAGAAGTCTCAAAGTGCATTCGTGTCGAGTCAATAGTTATCTTTTTAAAATCGAGAGCAGTTTGTTATGACAGCTGCGATATGATGCACGTTTATCGGGTGCACGTACAATATGTATCCGGATTTCGCTTTCCAGTTCCCCGCGCCGGAGTCATTCGCCGGTCCGTCGGCGGTGCTAGAGGGCGCTCCTGCTGCCGCAGTGGACGAAAACGATGATATCATGCGAGCGCTACTCGCGCACGAGAAGAAGAGCGCGGCGGCGGATTTCCCGGGAAGCGGCAACGAGAGCGACACGAGCGAGGAAGAGGATAGCAAGCCACAGACATCGGCAGGTAAGCGTAACGTGTTCCACGACCAGCCGTTCCGATGGATCCTCATTGGTTCCCCTCGCTGGCTAGGCCAGTGCTGAAGTTACGCTATGAGTTACACTCGCCAGGCTTACCCTCATTCTCTACATACAGTTAAACCAACAAGTGTCTAGCGCTCACTCAAGGGAAATGCCAAAATTGACTTTGATAGGCAGATCGCCCATTCTTTAGATGGGACCGCTAACATAGAGTAAACTACATGTACGCGTACATATTCGCGATTCCGTGTAACTGAACTACCATCGTCACGTACTTCACAGATGCAGTGGCAGACTTCGACAGTGACGAGGACGAGGAAGCCGTCATGGTGAGCATCGGTAACATGAGGATTCCGCTAGACGAGGTGACCGAGGAACTAGTCGCCAGGATGACCGCCGCCGAGAAGGAGACGTACATCAGGATAGGACAGGAAGCATACTCCAGCATGTATGACTGATAGCATCAGTAGCTGGGAGAAAAGGAGACGTACATCAGGATAGGACAGGAAGCATACTCCAGCATGTACGACTGATAGCATCAGTAGCTGGGAGAAAAGGAGACGTACATCAGGATAGGACTTGAAGCTTACTCCAACATGTACAACTGATACGTCGGGGTGTTAGCGTCAGTAGCTGGTGGATGAAGTGGACGGATGAGGGTTGCAGTTGGTTCTACTGACAGTTGATCGTTCTAGCGAGGGAAATACGAGGAAGACACTGTAGTGCAGATGTGAAGGTTATATATGATAGACATAGGGCTGAAATAGTGATCGTCCCACTTGGTAAGGAAATGTACTGTATAGTATGAGTACACTCAATGAGGTGTCACTCGTGGAAGTAGTTTTGATAGTATTCTCGGCTGCGAGGTGTGAGATACGTTTACAGAACTGTGTGTAAAACTGTTTGTGTGTGTTGTGAGGAGGCACACGCAGCGATATTCCATAGTTAGTGTATGTCTGAAAATGATGCCTTGCTTTCATCTTTTCGTTGCCATTTCCCGCAATAAGAGAACGTGAGGTGACATTTGCCTGGTTTCCAGCATCTCCTACATTAAGCAATTGTGTAACGGCACAATGTGGAAAGGGCTTCTTTGCGTATCAGGATATAGCATGGATAAAATGCAGCCAAATTGTGAGTATGGAGCTCAGAAGTCAGGGAGGTTAAAAAACAAATTTTAGGTATTTTGCTGGCTTACTTTTCACGGTCATCTGACGTGCATTAATGGCTCGCAGGTTGTGTAATATTGTTTAGCAGAGATCACAGCATTATTGTTCGAAGCACGTCGTATGTGATGTACAGAGGTGAGTGAGCGTAGGACTATATAGATTTTTGCTTTGTTGCATGTTCATTGTGTATGGGAAAGCTTTTGTGCTAAGTATGCGTTCTATGTATATATGCTTGTCACCCTTTTCATGCATATTGGCGTCAGCTAACTCTGAGTCTGTTTGAGCACTGGTATGCTCATGTCAGTTGATTGTTTCACTTGACTAAGAGTCCGAATTAGTATGTCATAGAAAACGGTTTGATGTTCATTATATGTTACATTATCTATTTTTTTGAGAAGTAGTGTGCATATTTTTTTTTATTATAGATGGTTCACGAAGTAAAATATTCATCTTGATTAATATAATCAGGAGTTGATAATAGGGAACTACTATTATCTACTTCTGATATAATCATACCGTGAGAGATGTGGCCTCGATTTTTGTTTGCTGGTAAGCTTTTATGTATTTGTAGCAGACACACACCAAGGGTGAAAGATAGTGTGAACAATGAACTTAGAATAATATTAATAACCGATTTTTATAGTGTGATGAGAAATTTCTACTATATTTTTATTATGCTCTCAGCTATAAAATTTCCTGCGTATTTCCCGCGACAATTCACAGAATAATGCTGTGCACTAAGGAATCTAGTATTGTGAAGATATTCCTCAACTGTATTATGCAATTCTAATCTTAGTGTACGATGGTGAGATTCAATGTATCTCTCCAAGGTTAAATCAAAACTGTTTTGGATTAATTCAACTGAACATAAAAACGAGTAAGGGTTAATTTCATGTATGTCATTTGTAGTTTCAGCCATTGTATTTATTCATATATTCATAAGTTTGGTAATAAACTTTTGGTATGATTGAATGATCTGTAATGATTGACAATAAGTGTGGTTACTGGTTTACGTAAACAGTGTTGTCGGATTGGGTGAGGACTGGGACGAGGACCACCTTACTACCACCTACCACCTTACACCTATGCTACCATGAAGAAACAGCTTAAATTGGAACAGCCTTCCATTTAGAAAAACCTACATGTTTTAAAGTCGTGGTACTACGGTACCCAATATTTATTATCTAGCTGTGAAACCTGCACTAGTATGATATCATACTATCGCTGAGAGGGTCTATGTCCCCCGGGGTACTGCCGGAACGTACCCTGGGTACGTTCCGGTATAGTACGGTCCGGTATACCGGAACGTACCCTGGTACTATCTAATATGCCGGACCGTACCTCGCCTACTCCACTAACGAGTCTAGGGAGTCGCCTACGCCTACTCCCTAACCCGAACCCTAACCCTAATCCTAATCCTAACCATATCAAATAGTGACCAGGGTACGTTCCGGTATACCGGACCGAACCCAGGGTACGTTCCGGCAGTACCCTCGGGGACATAGACCCTATGAGCCATACTATCAGGAGTGGATCATAGAGAGGAGCATGACTCTATTATCCACTCCTGATACTATGGTAAACAAATGGCGTATTTACTGTCGATTTCTTAGATTCTATGTAAATCTAGAATATTTCTGATGGGTGTCATTCCCATACAATTTTACGTTGCTGATCCTTGTGTATGTGTGTTCGCCAGATGCCATCTTTCTCTACCAACCTATTCCTTATTAAAAATCTAATAACGGATTAAAATAAATTTAAAAGTAATTTATAAATCAACGAATACTAAATCAGTGGTCAACGCCATAAATGTAGAACAACTGGTTTACTTCACGTAATAGTCGTCATAGACAGGCGTATACAGACAAGATAACATGCCCTACGTTCGAAAACAAACATCAAGGTGATATCAACACGACGTTGCTATGGTGATCGCCAAGTGCCAACGTACGTGGTGCCACACAAGTATCATACACACACTGTGTATATATGATATCTATGGTTAAACATACGACAGCCGTAATATCAGCACTCTGTTCGATGTCTAAATGGATTCCGAGGCTCATGCTTGCACGCACGCCCGCGCGTGGGTGGGGCAGGGAGAATTCTCATTAGGGGTGAAGTTTTGACAGCTGCGAACACTCGCTGCAAGGGATACAGATGAGATGGTCATTTGTCCTGTATCAAATGTGGTTGTGTTACACACTACATTCTCGTAACGAGCTGGTATTTTCTTTAGATTACAATAAAAATGTAATGGAACTAGGTATTTATCTGTGTACTGTGACGAGAAAAATGCAGATATTAACTCTATCAGCTCAGAGCTTTTAACTACCATGTTTTTTGCTACGATAAAGATTAAATCGGTCAATAAATTACTAGAACATGTAGAACGCGTCAATAATTACCACCGAGCACCAGAAATATGTGTATAACTGTCTCTAACTGTTGACTTAGTCACTTGAATTTCACACCTCGCTGGAAATGTGTTTCTAGATTTACAGTTTTAACATTTCATCTAAGAATCTGTAACTGACGTCATTATGTAAAACTACGAGATCACACATAATGATAATGGGTACCACTAAAAAGTCATAATAATCTGGTTCTTGAACCTCACAGGAAAATTATCACTAATGACAACAACAACAAAAGTGGAAGTTTACATCATCGATGAATGTCATAGATCGAACAGTCGCTCTCAAAACATAAAGAACAAACTTTTTCGGGACAAACGTTACATCGATGAGCTGTCGTACGTATAGCGGAACGCTCTACAATTTTGAAGTGAAATGAACATTGAGGCGAACACTTAATGCGTGGCACAAGGGCTGCCAACAGAAATACACGATCACCGAAAAACCTAATGAGAAACACACCTCTTACAGAGCTTACCATGATGTAACGAACAGCTTTCGATGTGACAAAAATACGGCCACAATATTATGTACATTGCCTTTTTTTAATAAACCTCATAATTTACAACTGACATCACGCGATATCGAGAAAAACTTGTGCATAACGTTCTTTCAGCGACATTTGGACCGATTTCTGCATACCTGCACGCTATTCGTAAATAATGTTGGCTGCCTGCTCATCTGGGTAGTAAAATTGGTACTACAACTTCAATGGATCACTATATAAAAACTACACAAATCTGTCTCTATCATGCAACGGGCCATCATCAGCGATGCTCCTGCTTCGTCTTTGGCGGTTTCAGGAATGTTCTCTGCTTCTTGGCTTTCGACCCCGTCTTGAAATCCCGCCAACTGTTCACTCGGCCGTCGCGCGATTCCTGCAACGCAATAATGATGGTCTCTTGTCATGGCGACATTCGATTTTACTAACGTCAGCGTAACAAATTAAAAAACGACGACAACAAATTTCACGACTACTCAGCATAATAAATTGTTTCCTCCTGACCTGGGCCTTTTCATAAATGTCCCCCGACTTCATAGGCCAATATGATTTTGATAGGCATGATTGACTAGTTAATATCAACATGGCATAGAAATGATGACAAAGGTCAAATGAAAAATAGGTGCACTGATTTTATGCTAACACTAGTCACTACCAGTGTGAATTACACAGTAATGAGTCAAGTCAGATGTGCATCACCACTTCAAAACATCAGCACTCGGTTTTTAAATGCTGATTAAGTATCGCATTAAAATTTTCACACTGTCTCAACGTTTATCAACTTTATTACCGGTGAAAACTATGTAGATATTCAATATAGATATGTGAGAACAACTGAGATATTACGTCAAAGTTTTTCTGCCACTCTGCATCCATCTTCTGCTTCTCGGCAGCTGCGATTTCCTCTTCTCTTTTCCGCTTCCTGAAAGGTTTGAGGGAAATAACTGCATGTTCACACGGAAGATGTATGTATTCACCCCATGACAATATACAGTAGTCGCCCCACGCCTGCTTTACCAGGACATGTCACAAACCATGAAATTTCTTGATTAGGCCGCGAACACACAATAACGAGCGTAAGGATTGTTTTTCAGAGACGTATGCCGTTTTAGCGATCTGCCCACTTATTCAAGGCCCGATAAAGCGGGGATCAGTGTATCCTGACTATGAACATTGCCTATTCCAGCCGTCTACAGACAGGAGGAAGAAGGGTAGAATGAAAACACCGACACCTGCACTTTCACAGTCTTCATTACACGAAATAGAAATGCCACGATAGAGCTGTGATTGCAGTAGCAGTAAGACACTGCAAGGATGAGGCATGAGCGAGAGAGAACGCCCGCTCACCGTTCGTGCATCTCTTTCATGTCTTGCTCTCTACGCTTCCTCTCCATATCTGCAAACAGCTTCATTGTCTGCACATAGATGGAGTGATCCATCTGAAGCAGGAAAAAATTTCCATCAGTACGTTTACCAGCTGGCGTTGCTTATTTCACCAATAACAAACACTATAGCAATATCTCGTGGTTTATGATGCTGCATTTCTAATCACACAAGGAGAAAAAAGACAATTTTTAACTTGCATATCTTACTAAACATGTCGTTGGTGTGTAAATTATCGTAATTTCATATCATGTTTAGGAAATATTTTGTTCGAGTTTAATTTAATAAAGTACGGGTAAGTGTAAACAAATAAAAGCTCAAGTTTTATAGAATCGTTGCTGACAATTTTGTTTAAATATGAAGTGATGAACCTTGGAAGAATCATCTTCATCCACTGAGGGTGGTTTTCCTTCCTTTTTTAACTTTTTCCGCTTTTCTTCAACCTAACAAAAAAGAATTATTCCATGTACACACACGCACGCACGCACACACATACACACACACACATACACGCATGTGTGCATGCATGCACACACACAGACACATATGATAGTGATGTTTGATACATCACTGTCCATCCTCTTTAGAAAGGCAAGACACAAAGTGATCAGAAATGCTAATAATGTACTAGTCAGTGAACTAGGCCTTTATCAATATAGATTTACATAATGTGACATGAAGCATAAAAATACACGTTGCACAGTTTCACCCATACGTATGTCACGTACACAAAAAATGAAATCGAGATACTACCGTAGAACATATATAGGCACGTGACCTTAGTTTAAAATAATTTCACTAACCATGTGTTTTGTCATCTCTTTGGCTTCCTCTATAACAGCGAGGCATCGTTTGTACAACTCTTCATTCTCTAAGGTCTTCCAAGCCTTGTTCACAACTAAGGTACAACATGTTTTATAAATACCAAATAACCAACGTATGCACATATTTAATCTAGTGTTCCAACAATAGAATAAAGTATGATGGAATAGTACATTATATATAGTAGGATATATAGTGTAATAGTACCAGGTCACTGTTGCTTAGATACCTTAAACAACTCTGATGTACTGATTACTGTGAGATTGTAATATGATCATGATATAGGATTTTACAGCTTCTACAAAGATTGACACAAGAAGCTGGTGAAGAATACTTACTTTCAAAAGCTTGCTGCGCTCTCTCAACATTATCCTGGTTCTTATCAGGATGGACAAGGATTGAGAGCTGTGCAAATAGCAACGAACATTAATGGATGCATCTCATTTCATATTTGTGATTCTTTAGTAGTCGTATTTTTTTTATATGTATAGCATCTATGAGGTAATAGTGTTGAGTGCAGCATCTGATATGTACATAAAGCCAAAAAAAACCTTTACACTATAAACTAACAGGTGAGAGAAGAATCTCCAAAGGTTTATTTAGCATGTTCACCAAATTCCATGAATATTTAAAATTTCAAGGCACGTATGGACTTTTGATAACATCCCGTTTGTCTTGAAACATTATAACATTAATAGTAATTCAGCGATAAAATCCTTCAGGCACAGATAGTTCAATATCAGAAATGTTTTTAGAAATTTAGTTATTAATTAGAAATTAAATTATAGTAGTTATTAGTATATAGTGTTGCATGTCTAATCTCTCAGAATGCCCTAAAATATAGTAAGTATTAAAATTCCTTTTAATATTATTCTTATTATTTATCGAAAAATCACTACATTAGGTAAGAATCTAAATAATCAAACCTTTCTGTACATCTTCTTAATATCTGGTACCTCCACATCTGGGGACACTTTCAAAACCTGAAAAATCATCATCCAAGTGATCTCAAATGAAAATTGATATTAGTCTATATTGGAGTAAGTCATTAAAATAGAAAACCAATGGCTAATATGAAAACGAAATAGGGGCCATGCATGCATAAAAACTATTTATTACAATAAACGCAAAATTGAAAAAATCTTGAACTAAACTCTAACCACACAGAAACATGAAAATGCAGGTCTAGACTCTAGAGTGGTATTATGCGTGAACGGATCTGCATTATAATCCACAGGATAAATGGAAAGTATGTGGAACTAGAAACACGGCTTTCATGCCAAGTTCTATTTCTATTGAGCTATGACACGATTTCCATTTACCCCGAATTGTGGCCTTTATTTAACTGATTTAACTGACTCCACCCCTCACCAAGGTGTGGGGTGGATAGAAGGGCAGGAAGTCTAGGTCTTGTGTACGCCCCCATCTAAAACAAATTGGCCGCCTGTCCTTTGAAAATGTAAATGGACTTAATGGAAAAAAATATATTCTTACATCCAACCTAGAATGTGGAGCATACAATTTTAAATTATGGCCCCTTGTATTATTGTAATCAGACATGATAAAAAAATTTTGTTTAATCTACTTCTCCATGACCATGAATTAGCTTGAAAGTCTCGATGAGGTCCCCCCTCAATCTCCGTTGTTCTAACGATATATAAGTCCTAATTTTGTTAATCTCTGCTCATATGAAAGGTGGTGAATTTCGGATATCATTCGTGTAGCCCTTCGTTTTCCTTTTCTAATATAGATGAGTCTTTTTGAAGATGAGGGTTCCATGCTTGCACAGCATACTCTAGGTGGGGACGCACCAGTGACTTATATAGTTGGAGGATTATTTCTTTGTCTTTGTAAGATATGTTTCTATATATGATTCTTAAGACACTATTTGCTTTCTTCGCAGCTGTATCGCACTGTTTGTCGCATTTCAGGGAGTCTGCTATTATGACTCCAAGATCCTTCTCTTCTTCCACTTGTTCCAAGATTTGCGCGTTCATGTTGTATTGGTGGCGTTGGTTATTGTGGCCATAGTGGATGGTCTGGCTATTTGGCTAATATCAGTTCTTTTCTACAAATAAAACCCATGTTCTGTACAACACAAGACCCTCTGTGATAGCCAACTTCTTTTGAATGAAGATGCAAAATATTATAAACTCGGAAGCAATGTATTACCTCGAATGGGTTCAAGTTCAAGTACGTTGAGCCAGGCCGCAATAAACGATCTATCTGCTGTTGCGGTGTCAGGCAGGAATCGGCGATTTCAATTTGCTTAACCTGTCATGAGGAAAAGTTACGAATGTTAACAACTTGATTGAGACAATGCGAATGGCATTGCAACTTTAGTCTTAGCCAACTACAAGTTACAACTGCAACTGCAAGGATGGCATTTACTTTCTGGTCATTCGCCGTTCCATGGATGGTGTTAGGGTTACCACGCACATAGATGTATGTATGTATACCTCGCAACCTATAATTTTTAAATGTCAATCTATAGCACATAACCAAACTTGAGGGTTGAGTGGTTAAGTTAACTTCAACAGAGTGATACTGTAGGATTACTGTGAAAACCCCGTAAGAAAATGACAATAACAATCAGAATGCTAGTCGCCAAATACAAGGGTTAGCTGCTATCAATTTTAATAATTAAAAACCATTATACCTCTGAGTAATATTGGTTGAAGGCAGCCTCCCCAGCTCCCGAATTAGACCCATTTTCTGAGCTCTCCTCTGGTGGAACATTACTGTTTTGCTCTGTAGACGCCATTTCTACAAACAATAGAGCGCCTTTGCCAGTGCTGATGGGCGGCGCCACCCCATGTCTCATTTGCCAACTAAAAATAATGTTGAGTTATTAACAAAATCCTCGCTCTCTTCTTTTCTTTTTATTCCTAATATTGAGCTTTCCTTCCTCCATCGTTCTTTGCCGCTTTTTTATTTATCTGATCAATTATTTACTTTTTTGCACCCCTATTCCAAGACCTACTCTCATTTTATGCTCAAAGATGGCGACACTTGGTAGCTATATCGTCAAGCCAGTTAGCTTCACACAATCATAGCATCGATACTGTCGCGTTTTCATAATATTTGTTGCCAGACGTGAAAGCAGTGAATGATGTCGAGTGAACACGACGAATATGGTAATGTTTGAATTTTAACCTGTAGATAAATGTCATCATCTATGTTACTGATGTAACATGTTTTATACCATGATGTCTATTTTTTCAGAAAGCGGCGATGCGCCGTCACCGAAGCACAGCAACGCCAGTAACCAGTCTGGACCCGGGGGAAGTCCGTACCTTAGAAAACCAAACATTCCAGTGGATGGTAAGCAGTGAAGCACGACTAAACCTCTATGATTATGGAATCGTCATTAAATACTTAAGTAAATGCCCTGTAGATATTGCGTGACTGCCCGCTGATGTGACGGTGCACTTGGAACGTCTCAATAAAAAAAATTAATGGTAAATAAACACGAAATGTAGGTACCAAAGTCTTAATGTTTCTCTACTCTATTTCGCCTATAATCACCTGTAAATGCCAGTCCAATGCTCATCTGCAACACGCAAGTACACCGCACGCCCGCGCTGTGCACAAACAACATGAATAAGAGAGCAGGTAGGAAAGCGTGATCACGAAATTCGCTCGACGCTCGCTTCATTTCACACGATCACAGAACGAAAACATATCCAACAGCTCCCATCTTGGTATCTATGTGTACATAAATGTTCACTTGTTCGAATTATAACTCTGGCCTTTGTTCTTACCTACTCCCGCCAGAGATAGCTCGTGAAATCTTGCAGGAAATGTTCTCTCCGTGAAAATGTAAAGAGGACGGTATCATCCGAAAATCCCTAACAGCGCTACTTTCGATCGATCGCTGTAGTCGTGTGTGCGTGACATCATGCCCGCGCGCATTGTGCTTGGCTTGGCGGGCCTCGAAATGGATCGAGCTCGGAGGCCGGCAGCAGCTCATCCCAGCATGCAATGCGCCCCATTACTCGTGTATAAACAGACATCTCGTCCTCTTTACATTTTCACGGAGAGAACATTTCCTGCAGGATTTCACGAGATATCTCTGTCCGGAGTAGGTAAGAACAAAGGCCAGAGTTATAATTCGAACAAGTGAACAGTTATGTACACATAGATACCAAGATGGGAGCTGAACGGATATGTTTTCGTTCTGTGATCGTGTGAAATGAAGCGAGCGTCGAGCGAATTTCGCGATCACGCTTTCCTACCTGCTCTCTTATTCATGTTGTTTGTGCACAGCGCAGGCGTGCGGTGTACTTGCGTGTTGCAGATGAGCATTTGACTGGCATTTACAGGTGATTATAGGCGAAATAGAGTAGAGAAACATTAAGACTTTGGTACATTTCGTGTTTATTTACCATAATTTTTGTTTATTGAGACGTTCCAAGTGCCTGTGTGACGGTGTAATGCCTTTCTTCAAGATTCCTCTGCTGTGCTAGCATAGCTACTCGGTCTACTGTACTGGCACTACAGTACTGCCACTGGTTGCCTGGAACCCCGATTACATAGCATTGTTAAAATCGGTTTGTGATGGAGCCAGTTGTGCAGTACATAATTTGATATTGTCATAATACTGTACCACTAGTAACCAGAATATGCACGATATAATTAAGCAGAACTGATTGCAAGTGTTCAAGTATGACAGTGACGGGGCATGTTAGATGGAGCGGAACACGTGTAGTAAAATTTTCACTAGGAGAAGTCGTGTATCTGTTGTTGTGTAACAGTATCACATGCTATATCTACATTTGCTGCAAGCATGATATAGTTCAGTGCAAAATTATCACAGTGGCGAACACCTTACGTAAAACGTTATTCAACCAACTGCTGTTACATTAATATTTGTGTATTTTATTTTATTAATTTGTGCGTTAGCATCGTGTGCAGTTACCGATTAATCACTGCTATTCTCTTACAGAACGAGTCGCCCAACTCCTGACACGATCTGAAAATCATCCCGCATATGTGCTGCCATCTAGAGGACATCATGGTGGAGACGACGACAGAGACAGTGATAAAGGCAGAATTAGCGACTCTATAGGTAGCATGTGTCGGCAAGGACTAAGCTTGGGGCAGATAGTGATCCTAGCATTCAACTCGTGCTGTTCGGAATATTGCTTTGTAATTTTTACACTGATCTGTTTTACCTCAGTACGATGCTAAAGAGATATGTATGGGCACATTTGACACTTAATTTAGTTAACAATTTTCTGAGGTAAAATTTTACGTTCTATCACTAATCATATGTGTACGAATTTTTTAGTAGACGTGGGTTAGTGCTTGATGCAGAATTAACACTAATATCTCACTAACTACTCACGGCCTACATTCATGTTTCTTATTATTATTACTAGGTATTTATTTTCGAGGAAGCAACATTTGCTTAAGTGATACGGGACGGTGACAGTAGTGACCTATATTAGCATTGGTTGTCATGGCAGCAGTTGAAAGCGTTTATTAATGTGTCTGATTGAGTAGTTACCTGTATTTTTACCCCCTTTTTAAATTTTGCCAGTATTTCACCTCTCCCAGGCCAAGATAAGGTAAATCAAGGCAGCACACATCTTGGGGAGAAGAGAAAGAGCGACGGCGGCAGTGATGGTGTGCCGGAAGAGAAAAAGTCGAAGCTTCAAGCTGCCGATCATGCGACAAAGGCAGCTGCACAGAAGAAGCCATTACCCGGCATTTCCATGAAGTTAGGAGGCCAGGTATTATTTCTAAATTATTGATTGAGTTTTTCGTGGTATAGTTGCCCCGATGTCTGGCATGTTTGTTATTGACTTTACGAGCTATGTTAGGTTGATTGTGTTTACGACTAGTAAGATGCAAGGACTGTGTTTGTTTATAGAATTATAATAATTATAGTATAAATACGCATATGTGTAAATGCTGTATTTTTGAAGCTCTGTGTTTCTATAATAACATTATTCGTAGTTGGTTGAATGCGTAGGTGCACGCATGTGTGCGACGCATGTTAGTGTGCACATCCCCTTCTCTGTTGAGTCACTTTTTTATATTCACAATACTTTTTTAGAAGCCAAAAGAGCAAGACACCACACTAAAGAAATCTCAGACTGTTGCAAGTGTTTTTGGAGGAGATGACTCCAGTGATGTGAGTTTTAATTACCTTTAATTAATTATGTATTTCTGTATATGTGTCATTATGCATAAAATTTCTGAGCAATCCTGCTTTTATTTATCCATTAAGCTCTTCTTTAGTTATTGAACCCCTGAGTGCAGATGATGGTATTGTGATTTGGCCAATGTTGAAATTCAACTTATGAGATGGTAACAATTCGTTTTTTCTAAATGTAAATTTTGTTCGTACTTTCAGGAGGAGGAGGAAATGCCTCGCGAAGCCCGGATGCGGATGAAGAACATTGGCAGGTAAATACAAATTATATAGTAGATGCATAATGTCGTGAGTGAATAAACACAAATAGTTTTCATTCACTCCTGTTAACGTTCCTAACTAGTTTTGAATCACGCTAGTCTGTAGATTTATGATACGTAACTAAATTTACTGTTCGACATCAATTAAAAGTAACTAGAAATCTAATTTTAATGATTCCAACGTGTGTTATAGTGTGCTCTTCCGACGAATAATGACGGAACACCAATGTTGCGCTGTTGGCATATACGTATCTGTATTCCACACTATTAGCCCTTATCGTTTTTAATGGTTTCTATGGTAAATGATTCATTACGATATGTCAGGAACACACCAACGTCAGCCGGTCCAAACTCCTTCAATAAGGGTCGCATCGGATTCTCGGACAACGCCAGGCTTTCCGCGAGAAAGTTGAAAGAAGCTGCCGACAAGGCAGAGGCAGGAGACTAATGTTTATAGTTGCCGTGGAAACGGCAGTGTGCTAATGAGCGGTTACTCGGTTAGCCGCTGAAGGTGATGCTTAGCTATCGTTTGTTTAGCTATCAGATATGTGCATTGTAGATTCCTTCCATTGCCATCTGTTGCACATCAAGGGCAAGAGTCATTCCATTTCGGCGTTGTGACGGCTTATGCGAATTCAGGCCTGTGCAGGTCGCGAAGTTCGTTATTTTACGGTTAATTTCTAAAGCTAAATTACTCCATTCCTTGTTATTTGGCATTTAAGAGCATCAACTGATGCAACGTCGTTATGATAATGCACAAACAACCTGTTTTTACCCTTTAATTTACTGTTGACAACTATATTGAAACATATGTAAATTCCAAGTGTAAATGTATGTTAACGAAGTGTCATGTTAATGCACACGTGCTCCAGGTTGTTACCATGGAAACAGCCTGCACCTTGGTCATGCTTCATACCAACTTCTTCATCTCCATCTGTTTCATTTTGATGACTCATGCAGACACTTCGGGTAAAACTGCCTTTTGAAATCAATTGTCTTCGATTTAACATGTTGCATGTGCCTACTGTGGCTGTGAGTAGAAAGACATTGTTATGTATTGCCCAGCATTTCACACGTTCGTGCTATTTATGTCATTCATCCATTTTCTAATGGTGTAACGTGTTTATGGATGCACAGCGTACGACACAGCCCGTGTTACTGGTGTTAGTCACTGCTTCATGGCACATTTAGACTCATAGTATAGCATCTGGGGAAGGTTTCTCAACTGCATGAAATATAGTCAAGTAGGTCATGTTATTTATGTTAAAGCTGCACTCTCACTACATTGAACAACTGCCCAGAAAGCATGCGGCATATACCCGCAGACACCGATGACAAATTTCATCTCTCGATTGATTTATCGGGAGTATCATGGATTGGTATGCACACTCAGAGTGTGTCAAACAACTTGAGAACTACCCAGCCTAGATAACAGTGGAATATTTAAAATTTAAATGGTCTCTGTCCCATCGGGGGACCAAGAGGATAAGACTAAGATTTGAAATGTCTAATTATAGACAGTGAATCAGAAAAACGTTTGTAGTGAAGGGTGTATATTTTTGTACTTGATTTGGCACAATAGGCGTTGCATCGTTTAGGTGGCCGTTTGATCTGGTAGTATTAAACCACAAGGCTTTAATAATTTTATGATAGAATTAGGATAGCTACTAAGCTCCCGTTTACGAATGATTGTGTACACTTGTAACAGAGTTCCTGATGCAGCAATTCCGTTAATAATCTGGTATTGGAAGGTTAATGCAAACATAAATAGGTTATAGAACATCAGGATAAACTATATATCGGTAGTACGAGTGTGTCAACGTGGAACCAGGCATGTCGTAATCTCAGGACGCAGGTAAATGTATTGTAGGTGCTCCTGGAATATTGCACTCACTCTGATGTGAATATAAATTGCTATTAAAAAAAAGATTAATTACGATTATAATCGTTTATTTCCAATCAATTTAATCTAACTACATATCTGTAGTTATTATATATATGATATCTCATATTGGATGATACTTGTGTATATAGTTAAACATGAATGGCACCTATAATAGTTTTAAGCAGTAACACGATTGATTCAATGTGAAATGACTTTAGCAATAACATATTCATGTTAATATGGGTGTGAGACAAATGTATATTCCCACAACGATATACAGCGTGTAATTATACATGTTGAACTATATTGAATGAAATATATAAATAACTTCCAGTAAAGAGAAAAATGCATCTACGCATTTGTAAGAAGTTTGGAAGAATATGAGTATACTATTTGCTATGTACAACAATATTGTACAATAAATAACAATAACCTTTCGTCCTGTATAGAGTTTGACTCTTTAACCAATGGGTCCTGGCTGCATTTCGGTTGGTCACAGGTGTATACATTTATTAAGTAGTACTATGTACATTTAAGGTAATGTAGATAACACGTTTTCCTACACAGAGCACCGTTAATTGTTCAACACGAATAGAGGGTGAAGGATAGTTTTCACATACACACGACAAGTATAACCAGAAAATATCTGACACAAGTTTTTTCACGTACAAAACAGCGATTGGCAAGGAAACGTTGGCAAGGAAACGTTGGCAAGGAAACGTTGGCAAGGAAACGTTGGCAAGTTTCATCACAGTTAAAATACTTTGCTCGAAAAACAAATGAAAAAAGAAACAGAGGAAAGGGTAAACGCAGATTTAGGCACACGTACAAAACGTTTGATGTTTGGAATATAAAATACGAACATGAATTCGTTTACGCCATCAACTCTATAAAAAAAATACGGAGATCATGCAGGTTTGATTTGGCATCACCTGGCTAATTAACTATACCGTATTTGCGCAGGTGTTGTCGTAGGTGGTCGCAGGCAGCACTAAGTATGCTAAGATGTGACGTCTTCGATATGCCGAGCGCCTCTAGTTCTGTTCGTCTCAGCATCGCTACTTGTTCTATTTGGCTGTATCCCTGCTTCATCTATGTAGAGGAAGAGAGGGAGAAGATTTAACCATAGATAAAGACAACGAATCAACGAAACAAAGGGAGAGAGAAAAGGAGGAAGGTAGAGAGAAAGCGAAGGGAGAGATAGATAATGGGAAGGTAGAGAGAAAGAGAATGGGAAGGTAGAGAGAAAGAGAAGGGAGAGAGAGAGAGTGAGAATGGGGAAGGGAGAGGGAAAGTAGATTAAACCTTAGATATAGACACAAAACGAAGATGGGTGGTTTTACAGATTAATCTAAACTGGACATCACCTACATATAACTATACTACTAACACACACGCATAATAAAATGATATTCCGTGAATTTCGAAAGAATTGTGAAAACTATTTGAACTATTTTAGCTGAGACTGACGACTACTAATCAGTTGCTTACCAAATTCTCGGTGTACATTGGGAGACCGAGAGAGGTGAGCCAGTCCTGTACTGATGAGTAGTTGTATACGGGGGTGCTCGTCAATAAGCGGGCTTCACTCAGCTTCTCACTGAACACCTAAACATTTCATATCGCAATTGTTGATTTCGCATTTCCTCGATCTCCAACTCAAATAATTAAAAATGGTGGTGGTGGTGGTGAGGGTGGGGGTGGGGGTAAGCAATCGACCCGTGTCTAACAGAGAGATGTGCTTAAAGGGAAATTGTCGTTCTACTTTGCAAAATAATTTTTTATATACATTATTTTAGTTGGTAGCTTGAGGAATGAGTGACCCAAGTCTACGCAGTATTAATAAAACGGAAACCACAGAAAAGTAAACATTTGAAAGCACCCCCTTGAAAATGCTTGGCTTATAAGCAGTGACGTCACGATGACGCTAGTGTGTGTTCTGCGCATGCGTGTACGTGCGCGGTTTGGTTGCGTTCGCGTGCGTCGGGTTTCATTGAACAGAAGAAGTAGGTCTCAGGGGAGAGATAGTGATTCGCTAGATGGCGCATTATTAGTGTGTTGTGGATATAGAAATCAGTTAACCCTAACCCTAACCCTAATCCTAACCTTAACCCTAACCCTAACCCTAACCCTAACCCTTATTCTAAAATAAAACAAAATTAGCCAAAAATACAAATAAATAAGAGACAAAATTAGCCAATCAGAGCCGTCCCCTAGCGGATCACTATCTCTCCCTTGTGCAAAATTAGAACAGAAGACCCTAATTTACAGAGACATGCGCATGCGCACTTACTGCTGGTTTCTGCTTCTCGTGAAGCTGTGTGACGCGCAGTGTTTCCATGGCGTTAGCGATCTCTGATGCATGGTAGCACAGCTCTGCCGCATAGCGTGTGATGAGAGCTGGCGGAATGTCGCCGACCCCGTCCTGTGTGCAGGCGAGAAGCACACGCGTTCACAACGACAATGGAATGGCGCGACACCCTATACTGTTATTATTATTATTTACAAAGTGGAACACGGCATTAGCCGGTGGCTTCTGGGTTGACCGTGTTCCAACCTGGGACATAGGGATTCAATCCAGAATTTTGTTTATTATTATTATTATTATTATTATTATTATTATTATTATTATTATTACTTCCTCAATTAGAACTTCTTTAGAACTATCTTAGAGATTAGAACTTCTTCCATCAAACTCTTTAACCTATTAGGATAAACGCGTTGTTTCCTCGAGCTTGCCTTTCCCGTCGTGTATGGTTCCTTCAGGAGGTCGATCCCTTCCTCTCCCAGCTTCCGTCTCAACATCGCCTCGACGACCGACGGCACTGCCGTCATCGACCTCTCAGCCACAGCCGACGACATGGGGCGTAGCGACGACTCCCTCCACGTCCGCAGTCCCTGGAACGTCTCGATGATCGTCTTCACGCGAGACTGGTGCCCTCTGGCAGACGGACGCGCCGACGGCGTCGACTCGCGCTTGCGTTCGTCGCTAGGTGGCCGCGGCAGCGTCGCCGCGCGCTGCCCGAACCCACCCTTGCTTCTGAAGCGAACCTCTCCGTAGTTGACGTTCGAGTCGGAGAAGAGTTTCTTGCAGCCGTCGGCGTGGTGCGTCGCCGTCAGTCTGACGCGCTGCTTGCTCGCCGGCGACGCACTGAACACACTGTCCTCTAGCGGCGGCGACGATTTCTCTCTCGCTGTCGGCGCGCTCGGTTCGACGAGGGCCTCGCAGCTCTGCGTCGCGTGAATGCTATCATCTATGCCCGGCACTCCCACTAGCGGTGAGATGTTGACGGACATGCGCAGTGCCTTCGTGTGTTCCTTCCCCGGCTTCGCTTTCGATTTCACGCTCGCTGTTTTCCAGTCGGCGGATGATTTCCCGTCAGAGGGCGTCTTCGTCGGCTCTGCCTTTGTTTTAATTGCGGCGCTCGCGGTCTCACTCGGCATTGTCGATTTCACGTCGGCGTCGCTTCCGGGCGTTTGGCGTTTACCAGAGCCCTCTTCCGGCGGGCAAATATTGACGTAGAACTTTGAGATGCGCTCTTGTTTCTGCTTCGTGCGCACGGCGTCTTGTCGTTTGAGCGTCGCCGGAGCGCTGCTGCTGCTGGCGGCGGTCGTGGTCGTCGTCGTTGCCGACACATCGACGTCGGCTGGTTTCGTCATCTGTAGGCAGTCGCTGCTCGCATAGATACCTGAGTCTCTGATCTCACCGCGTGACGTCACCTCCGCCGCCACTTCCGGCTGCTGCTGCTGCTGCGCATGCGCTGGTTCTGCATCACCTGTTATCGTAAATATTATTTATATCACAGCGGATACGTCGAATAACACTCGGAATTTTATATATTTTATTTACATCTATGTCTATATCTACATTTATATCTTTATCTATATCTATTTTTGAAATATAGATGTAAGCTACGTAGAAGTGGTATTTGTCGTCCGACCTCATATTAAACACAAATTCGAAAATCTTAATTGCGCCACATTACCGATATATACATATATTGATATATATCCGGTTAGCTAACAAAAAGAGATCGGTATATCATATTTCACAGATGGAAGACGCATGAATGCACGGATTGGATATAAGTGCGGATTCGATATAAGATATTAGCGTGCGGGTATTGCCATCTTCATCAGTATGACGTCACATACCATCGTAGTCGTGTAGAAGTTCGGCTGCCGTGAGAATCTTCGCTCTGTCCTCGCTGCTCACAATCTGAAGGTCGTCTAGATCTTCTTCTTCCAGTTCTCCGAAGCGTTCAAGGTCATAGTCGTTCAACATGAACACGCTGATGTACTTCTACGGAGAGCGGGAGGGAACCATTGATTAATTAATTAATGTTTTAAACCAAAAATTAACCATTTTATTATTACAATTTTATTAATTACAATTTAATTATTTTAATTATATTAAACCATTTCACAATTTGACGGATCCGGAATGAATGAATGAAAGAAAGAATGAATGAATGACTGACAGAAAGAAAGAAAGAATGAATAGATGAATGAATAAATAACTGAATGAATAAATAAATGAATGAACGAACGAACGAATGAATAAATGAATGAATGAACGAATGAATGAATAAATGACTGACAGAAAGAAAGAAAGAATGAATAAATAAATAAATGAATAAATAAATGAATGAACGAATAAATAAATGAAAGAATGAATAAATACATAAATAAATAAATGAACGAACGAACGAATGAATAAATGAATAAACGAATGAATGAATGAAAGAATGAATAAATGAATCTCCCGCGCCCAGTTCAAACAAACATCGTAAAGCTGATTACGTCCTACGCTGTCGGTTTTAAACGTGACCGTATAAAAGAAGGGATTGCTTTATTTATCGTTACTACGGTATAGCGATAACGCTGAGGTGCCGTAAGTAGGCTAGCGAAAAGATAACGTCTGTTCTAGATATGTCATTCTAGATGTTACCGCACTTGGAAATGCAGCGCGCACGATAGAGAGAGAGAGAGAGAGAGAGAGAGAGAGAGAGAGAGAGAGAGAGAGAGAGAGAGAGAGAGAGAGAGAGAGAGAGAGAGAGAGAGAGAG